ACCTTCAAAAACTACTTTCTAGCAGAGAATTTTATCATATCCTGTGCGAAAATACTTGCGGGTGTTTTGTTGTTCACACCCAAACTAATAACGTGACATGTACTGACAAGGTCTAGTATAAAATAAGTTCCTGTAATGTATTAAGTAGTTTATTTTGTAGTTTAATTGACTCAATTAATCGCATAGTGATGCGCATAGTTGTTCGTAATTTTGTCGATACTTATTACAGTAAAAGTAAAATTAGAGTCCAGAGTCCAGGGTCCAGAGTCCAGAGTCCAGGGTCCAGAGTCCAGAGTCCAGAGTCCAGAGTCCAGAGTCCAGAGTCCAGAGTCCAGAGTCCATAGTCCAGTCCAGTCCAGAGTCCAGTCCAGAGTCCAGTCCAGATTTTATCCTATGCCAAGTAGGCGTATGCTCTACAGTTCGACGTTCAAGAAATTGTCAAATGCGTGTCAAATAGACTCGACCGGAAAAATTTGAAAAACATGAACAATAATGGATTCTGGGCCGCACTCGCTCAATCACCTCAATTACATCATCAATGATTTACGTTTCTCAATATCTATGGCAGATCTCCTTTTGTCACAATTATAATCTTTCATGTTAGCTTAAATAGTTTTCATCATCATTAACTAAGCGGACGCTATTTTAGTCATCAGCTTCAAAAGAGAACGAAGTATTATGAAAATGAGATCAAGTTTAATTATATTTGTAACCACGAGGGAACTCTTTTGCGATCGGGTAAATTATATAAATGCAATCCACGCTAGGAAATGTTATATTATTAAGGAAATGGTTCATTTTAAGATTTTTTCTTGTAAATATGTGTACCATATACTTGTAAATAAACATGAGTACAAACTATTTTGCCTTCGCAGGATCTGCCTCCATCGCCACCAGGTGGGAATTTTCTTTGTCTTTTATCCTTAACGTACATAACTACTTCAAAAATATCCTTTTAGAGTTGAATCGGGATGCCGATATGTTAATTTAGTTTAGCTCCTAGAAAGAAAAGATTAATAGACAAACTGGCCTCAATGTAAGACGGCCAAAACGGTCGACGTAAGAACAAAAGATCCGAGGGAAGATTTATAAGTTTATTACACAGAAAATAAATGCAACGGTACAAAAAAACGGGAACGAGTGACACAAAAGCTAGTATACCTCGGAATCCGCTTTAAGGGCACTCTCAAGAAGGCAACAAATCAACTGAACTTACCGAGCAACCGGTTGTAACTTATAGTAAAATACAGGAAAAGGTAAAAATAACTAAAAACCAAATTTGGGTTGGGAGCGGGCAACGAAACAGGAATTACATAAGGGAAATCGGTGTTTACTCTTACACAACAGGACAAGGGCAGGTACTGGAATAGTAAAATTAACACATTACTAACACAATTAACATATTACTAACATTACTGACAAATCGCTAAAAATTCCAGAAAATAAAATATACAGAAGAACAAACATGTTTTAAGTGGAAAAAAAGCGTAAGTGACTCTGTCACATTAAGATAACTCAAATCGATAAATCAAATGTTAATTAGGAAGGCTACGTTTTCTGCAAAGTGTTCTCGGCTGCAAATATCGGTGATCCAATAAATCAGTCAACGCGCAGATTAAGGTAGCGATATTGTTGTTAGAAGTTAGTCTGAAAACAGTGTTCAATTGGTATAGTTGTTCCTAGCAACAGAAACGGTACACCCGGGTCTGGTACAGATGCATGAGATCATAAATATTTTTCATCGTTCAGAACCTGCAAACATAACCGTGAGGATCGTGGAGGGGAAAACACTCAACATCACCTGTCGTGCCAGAATGGAGTCGGAAAGTTCGTTTGTTTTGTGGCTGAAAGATAACTGGCCCATCAAGAGAGGACGGAAAAAATTCCTCTTTATTCAAAGCATAAAGAGATCGCAAGCAGGAGACTATATGTGTGTGTCGCTGTCCCAGGACGGAAATCACAGCTCACCTTTCACTGTAGTTGATGTTTTATGTGAGTATTTAGAAGATGTGAGTGTTTAGTAGATGTGCGCAGCTTTAAGAGGAATCGCCCTTTCCATCAGACTTCACAAATTTTTCTTCATGCCCTTTGAAACAACCAGAAACATTTTATGCGAAACTTTAAAACTAGGCCTTGCAAGAACAACTTAAGCCTGAGAGTTAGTTAGCCTTGTGTAATGTTGTTTCTCAACCGTTTTCTTTCTTTCAGTTGCACCGAAAATACTCAAACCTAATAAACAAGTGTCCATGGAATTAACGAGGGGAAATTCGACCACACTTAAGTGTACAGCCTCAGCAAATCCTTACCCAGCATTAACTTGGCATACGCAAGGTGGTGAGATCAAGCAAGGAGTTTCAAATACCTTAAACTCAAGTTCCTTGATAGTCACTCCAAGAAATGACAGCGACTTTACAAGTTACATGTGTATAGCAAAAAATGGGATAGGATTTGACTCGGTGACGTTCATGTTAAACGAAAAGGGTAAGTACAATTGCAGTCTGTTGCTATCTTGGGCTAAAGCAATTATTAGACGATGGTAACCAGGACAGCTTAAAGATCCTCTTATAAGTCACTTCAGTTGCACTCAGTTTCGCCTTTTAGAGCCACAAGGCAGAAGAATTTTTGATAAGGTGATCTCACTGGGTTCGCACCCTCTTAAACACATCATTCCTGAAGAGAAAAATATTGCATACCATACACCGAATGCAAATATGGCGTCCAATTTGAATTGCCATTGTTCTGGACTGATTAGCCTCGTCTTCACGTGGAAATACAAAAGGATTATTGCATGTGTGAGAGGCTAGTCAGTCCAGAACTATTGCAACTCAAATTGGACGCCATGTTTGCATTCGGTGTATCTGCATAAGAAATGGTGCTTTCGCCCAGTTTACAACAACAACAACATCAACAATTTATTCTTTGGTTTTTTACATAAAATAACAGTAGGATAGTTTGCCCCGCAAATAGCTAGAAAGCTAATCGAGGCGGGGAAAGACAAGTACCTTAATAAAATAACATAAATCGTCTAATATCTTAGGACGACGAGTCATTATTTACACAGTCAAACAGTCACAGAGTCACACAGAAAAAGATAAGAAGACATTTAAACTTAGAAGGTGTATCTATGTACCTACTTTTTTAATGATCATGGGGATTTGAATATAGTTATCATCTTTTTCTAAGATATCAAATAGCAATTTGCGAAGTACTTTTTTGAAAGCTTTCTTTGGGAGATCCGCTATACAGCTTGGTATCTTATTCCACAGCTTTACTCCGATCCGAGAGAAGGAATTGTTTTATATTACTAGTCTCGAACTTTTAACATAAAACTTTCCAGACTTAAACGATTGTGTATTGTATGAATGAATATTAGACGTTTTTTAAAATAGATTTAGTATGTCTGCTGGGGCTTTACCATTATTGATATCGTGCATTAGGGTTGATACGGACTCGTAATAAAGAAAAGTAATTGGAAGTACGTTTGCTTTAAGAAATAAAGGAATTGCATGGTCATGCCAGTCTGCAAAGTACAGCAGACATAGGGCTCTTTTTTGAAGACTAAGAATTTTGTTAAGATAAGTCTTGCATGTCTGACCCCAGGCAGCAAGACCATAGGTTAAATAAGGGTGGATTAGGTGGATTAGGATTAGGTGACCAATTCCGAGAACACCTTCGCCACGTAGAAAGGAATGACAAGGACGCATCAAAACCAGTCGCTAGACACTTTAATTTGCCTAATCATTGTTAACAACATATGGCAATCAGCGGTCTTTCCTTACATTTAGGCAACACGGAAAGCCGCAACACTCTTGAACAAAAGTTTATCTTTCAAATCGGCACTCTTAATCCCACAGGTATCAACGAACGCTTTTCATTCCACTAATTTATTCGTGTTTTTCTCGTTGCCATGTTCCCACCAATGGCGTAGCTCCGCTTTCTGCATAGAAACCCGCCGCACGCACAATTCCTCCATTTGCTCTGAAGAAGGGCTAACGCTCGAAACGTCAGCTTTTTTATTCGTTACGGTGGCCAATTTACAATTTCAACTTAGTTGATATAACCAAATTACCCCACTGAAGCTGCACCACAGTTTCTTTAGAAACTTTCAGCCTTTATTCATTTGTCTTTTTATCGCTGTAACCACTAGTTTTCGTCTTAGTGTTCTTTAATCCACAGCATTCAGAACAACGGACCATGCCAAGCCTAAAAAAACTCACGAAGGAGCTACGCCAGGAAATCGTAAGTTATCTTTTTCCACTAGTAGTAAAGATCTAGCATTCCGTTTAGCCATTCTCACTTTCGCCCAAACTAGGTTTTGTAGCCACATCAACTTCCTCGGCCGTTGCCTTCATTCTAAAGTTATTCCTAAACGTTTTCGCTCCAATTTTTATGCATCTTCTTTTACCAACCAATATCATCATCAAATTCAGTGCGCCCAAAATTCCTTTTCACGCAACATTATGAGAATCACCGTTAGAGCTACGTACC